TGCGGGGTTAATACCTTAAAAACCATTATTTATACATATCCGTTTCGATTTAACCCTATCATTTTTATTTGTTACTTATTTGCCACCGTTAATGAAATGACGTTCCATTTATTACACCTTACCCGGTTAACAACCGGTAATCACCTCCTTGCCGGTTGCATCTCTTCACTTGATTACTAATTCTTGGGAACGTGCATAGTAGCCACCACCTTTGTCCCTCATGTCTGACTAACAAAGGGGTATCCCGATAACATCATCGTCAAAAGAGGGTTTTGCAAGAGGGTTTTGAAAGAGGGTTTCTGAAGGTTTTCAAGGGTTCGATGGCAGAATCATCACGGAGAATGAAAAGTAAAGAATCAAAGGCGACAAAGAAGACAAAGTTGAGATATGTACGTGATGAAGAAGAGTCTGATGATGATCGTCTTGACTTAGGATTGTTGGATGTTGAACCAGATAACTTCAATCCTACATCTAACTTGTGTGACGACCCTTTTCTTAACATTTTATGTGATGATAAAATGTTAAAGAATAATCAGTTTGAAGGGGACGATGAAGCTGATGTTGCTGATGTTGAAGACATTCACCAGGAAGAGCTTGAGCATGAACACCTTGAAGATGAAAATGGCTTGGAAGTGGGTGTCGAGTTCAGGGTGCACGATCCTACCGTCAAGTGGAACCAAATGAAGCCTACAGTTGGTGAGTTATATGAGTCTCCTGCTCAGTTAAGGTTTGCACTCACTAACTATATGTAGCTAATGGATACCAACTTTGGTTCATGAAAAGTGATAAAAGTAGGGTAATTGTTAGGTGTGGGAAAAAAAATGCAAAAAAACCATGTCCTTTTAGGATCCATGCTTCGTGGAAGTATAATGAACGTACTTTTCAGATAAAATCTATGGTTGAAACACATCTTTGTGCAAGGAATTATAATTTTGACATTTGGTTAGTTGTAATTGGTTAGCAAAACACTACATTAAGGACATAATTAGGAAGCCCAAAATGACACTACCTGAGATGATGGAGGATGTCCTTACAAAATATTCAGTGAAAGTGTCAAAGGGGCAATGTCATAGAGCAAGGGTAAGGGCAAGGGAGATGATAGAAGGTAAACTGGAGGAACACTATGCTAAGATATGGGATTATGCCAACGAAATCCTTAGATCTAACCCTGGAAGTACATGCAAAGTAGGAGTTTCTGTAAATCCAGATGGGGTGAATTATTTTGAACGTTTTTATGTATGTTTTAAGGCATTGAAAGATGGATGGAATACAGGGTGCAGACGTGTGATTGGCTTAGATGGATGTTTCCTAAAGGGACAAATCAAAGGGGAGATTTTGACTGCTATTGGAAGAGATGCTAACAACCACGTGTATCCAATTGCATGGGCTGTAGTAAATGTAGAGAACAAAGAAAATTGGACTTGGTTTTTACAGTTGTTGGTTGATGACTTGGGTGTTGAGGATGGAAGGGGTCTAGTTGTTATTTCAGATCAACACAAGGTAAACATAAATACTACAAATTTTTTTATGTATTCATTTATATTGTCTAACCCATATTAATGTTGAATTTGCTTATTTCAGGGACTTCTAGAATCTGTGAAAGCTATCCTTCCACATGTTGAACACAGGCAGTGTGCACGACACATTTATGCCAACTTCAGGAAGAGGCATACAGGTTTAGAGTTGAAAAACTTATTCTGGGCTGCTGCAACTAGTTCACATGAAGGGGATTTTGTGTCTAACATGGAAAAAATTAAGAAAATCACTTCAAATGGATATGATTGGTTGATGTCTAAGAATCCACAATCATGGTGTAGGGCATTTTTTGGACTAGGGTATGCATGTGAGGCAGTGGAAAATGGGGTTTCTGAGTCCTTTAACTCCATGATCATAAATATTAGGAAAAAACCACTTCTCACAATGTTAGAGGAAATTAGAATCTATGTCATGTCTAGGTTTTATTATTTGGCTGATAAAGCTTCTACTTGGAGAACTGAATCGTGTCCAGCTATCATAGAGAAAATGAAGGAGTTTGGAAAAGAGATGAGGTAAATTCTTACATAAACTTGTTACTACTTACCATTAAATTGTGTTGTATAGTTAACATGAAATTGTTATTTTTAATTTGTATTTATAGGAACTGGAAAGTTATAGCAACTGGGGGGTCTGTATTTGAGACAAGGTATGGGTATACAGCTTACAAAGTGGATTTGGAACAACACTATTGCACATGTAGACTATGGGAGATATCTGGAATACCATGTGTGCATGGTCAAGCAGCAATAAACTACACTCACATGAATCCAACTGATTTTCTAAGCATTTGGTTCCAAAAAGAGAAATTTATGGCTGCATATACCACAAATATATCACCAGTGAATGGAAGCAACCTGTGGGCACCCACTGACTATATAAAGCCATTACCTCCTTTGACAAGGAGACTGCCTGGTAGGCCAAAAACCAAGAGAAGAAGGCATGTGTCTGAGGTCAATGATTCCAAGTTCCCAACTGTTAGAGCTAGAGTTTGTAGGACTGTTAGGTGTAGCAAATGTTTACAATTCGGCCATAACTTGAAATCCTGTAAGAATGAGCGAGTGATGAAGGAGTATGTGCCACCTAGAAAACCAGGAAGGCCAAGGAGGGGTGGAGAAGAAGATAAACAAAAGGCAGTTAAGCTTGTAGTGAAAAGAAAGAAGAAGATAAAGAAGGCTAGAGAAGGATCCTCAAACCAGGATGGCCAAGGTGGGGTTGAAACTGCAAACGATGCAACTGTGCAAGAAGAAAATGGAACTGTACAGGAAACTGTACAGGAAACTGCACCCAAAATTGTGAATGATGGGAATGCTATTTCTGATGAAATTGATGTATTGTTGCAAAAATGTGGTTATGAACCTCATGAGATTGAACAGGCTATAGAAAACTTGGAAATGGTATGGAAACCTTTACTTTAAATTTCTTAAAACTAATATGTGATTTACATAAGGTAATTAACTAGATCATGTCTTACAGGGTGTAGATGCTAATGCAGACTTAGAAGAGGATGTTAATGAGATTGAAGATAACTTGCTTGAAGAAAACTTGGAAATGGTATGCCAACCTTTACTTTAAATTTCTTAAAACTAATATGTGATTAACATAGGGTATTTAAATACATCATGTCTTACAGGGTGTAGATGTTAATGAGATTGTGCCACCAGTGCAAGAAGTTGCTATACAAGGTTTAGATGCTAATGCTTGGGTTGGTGAAGATGATGGGAATATTGACTTCATTGAAGATACACAAGTTGTTGGGAGGCCTAGGAAAAGGAAGATTTCTGAGAGAATTGTGAAAATCAAGCTGAAGAAAGCAGTTTATGATAAGGATGGAAGGGGTTCTAGTATTAAGAAACCAGTTAATTTGGAGTAGGACTATTTAGGAGGGGGTATCATGGGCACTATGTATTTTGCTTGCCCTTTTTGTTAACATTTCATCAGCTTTTGGTAACAACCATCCAATTGTATATTAGCATCTAGTAGTATTCAATTAGGCCTTTTTGAACATTGGTAGTTAATGGCCATTAAAACATTGTTGGGCAATTGGTTGTTTGGTACAGATTGTAATACCCCCTTTTATGTTATTATGAATGCAAGTATTTGAACTTAATGTCATTTCACTTTGCTTGTCATTTCACTTGCTTACTTTAGTACATTCAGTTATTACCAAGTTTAGTACATTCCAGTTAATGCCCTTTACTTCCTTATTATGAATGCAAGTATATGTTAATTGTCATTCCAGTTAATGTCCTTTACTTCCTTATTTTAGTACATTCAGTTATTACCAAGTTTTACCAAGTTCTACTACATTTCACTTGCTTACACAAGATTTAGTACATTACCATAACTACATTGTAATAAATCACTATAATGCAATTACCAAATCACAGGGACATAAATAAGATTGGATTACTATCAATACACTTCTCCATCAAACATTACCATAACTACAGTGATCACCTGCTTACAATCATATGTTAATTGTCATTCCAGTTAATGTCCTTTACTTCCTTGTTTTAGTACATTCAGTTATTACCAAGTTTTACCAAGTTCTACTATATTTCACTTGCTTACACAAGATTTAGTACATTACCATAACTACATTGTAATGAATCACTATAATGCAATTTCCAAATCACAGGGACATAAATAAGATTGGATTACTGTAAGATTGGATACTGTCAATACACTTCTCCATCAAACATTACCATAACTACATTGAACACCTGCCCTAACCAAAATGAAGAACCTACAACAACCTTAACTTACAACTGCCCTAACCAACTGGTTCTTAAAATACAATATCAATTAACAAAATTACTCCAATAACCACTAACATCACCAACACAAACTTCAACAACTTGATCACCTGCAGAACACCACTAGCAACAACTTCGTTATAGGGCTCCCTTTCATTAGCATAAAACTCCATCTCTTCCGTGTCAAGCCACTTGAAATATTTACACCCTTTTTTGGTACCCTGCCAGCAAAAGCTTCATTTACTAACTTTTGAAAGATAACAAAATGGTAAAACAAAATCCCTCAAATTTACCTTATAGTTAGGGCATGCCTTGAACTTTCTTCCTGGTTTTTATCAATTCTTGAAACTGAGTATTGCAGTTGATCACCACAATCACACTTAGTGCGATAAATCGGTTTGCTGATAGAAGTTGTTGAAGACGAAGCCATGGAAAAGAAGAAGACGTGATGTGTGAGGAAGAACGCTTGTTAAACCGAATGAAGGAGAGGTTTTGGGGAAAAAGTGGATTTTGGGTATGTAAAAGGTTAGGGTAACCTGTTAAACCGACGACACCGGCTACCATTGACTTTTCATAACTAGTCAACACAATTAATGGCAAATAAGTAACAAATAAAAATGATAGGGTTAAATCGAAACGGATATGTATAAATAATGGTTTTTAAGGTATTAATCTTATTTTGCGAGAATATGAAATCTTGCAAACTCTTTGTAAAACCTAAAACTAACAAATATTCTCGGTATGGTTACAAAAATTGTTTTGCGTAATTAAGTTTTTGGCAAATGATTGCAAAATAATTTTTTGTTAGAAATGTAGTTATGCAAATTAAAATAACTTTGAAAAAACTGTTTTCATAAAATAAATAATTATTTTGTGATGAATATGTATGAATAGTTAATTTGCGATTACACACCCCATGATTGGAATTTTAGTGATCAACCCCTACTTTCATGTTAAAAATGTCATTATAAAATAAAAATTACGATGAAATGGAAAATGATTTGCTAGAATAATATTTTAGTGAAAACAGATTGTATGATTTAGAGCGATACCTGGGAAAAGTTGACAATAATTACAGTTATTTAAATATAAATATTAGTCAGCTACCACTAAATTCTGGGATTTTATTGATTCACATCCACAAAACCTGTTTCTTTTCTTTATCAAGTCAAAACTACCAAATGGTTGAGTCAACTACGCCTCTTCCCACTTTTGGATATTTTTAAGTTAACTTCACTTTTATTTTTAATTTAAAAGTTTTCTAAATTACATTTTAATCTTTTAACTTATGTTTAGGACTTAGAAGATGAATATTAATATCTAATTCGGGACTGAATTGGGTTTTATCCAGTTGAGGTTGGCATTGGCAAGAAGTAAAAATAAACTCACAAAGTGTTGTTGGGGTCGACAAAATCAAGTTAAAATTTTATATAACAAAGGGCAAATTACATAAAACTGTTTAGATCATTATATTTCAGCTTTACAACTATACTTCAGCTTTATCAACAAAAATCATTGAAATTTTATAAGGCCGACCACTTTATAACAATTTTTCTGTCAAAGTTCAATAATTTTACTAAAAATCTAGTCCCAAGTATTCAATGTTAAATTTTAACAATTTCCTATCTACGATAATAAATGAAGATAATTTTGTCAAATATCAATTTCTAATGAGTTTTGACACTTATCATTTTTTGATATTTTCTAAATAAATAATATGTACATGTCAATTTATGGTTTTTTTTTTAAATTTAAAATTAAAAAGCCACATGATACTTATACTTATATATGTAAACTAATTAATGTAATAAATGTTATACTAAATTGCAATTAATATGTTTCTTATTTCAAAATTTCATTCTTTATTTCAAAATTTTATTTTAATCAATACTTATTATTTACATTTTAATATTTTTTTAATTAACCCGTATAATACACGGGTTTTATACCTAGTTACTAATAATTTAACATGTCAAAGTCATCTGTCATATAAAATCGTCACAAACTTGGTAACTTTTTTGACGAAACTGAAAATATATAGCATTTATGTATTATGACCTAAAATAAATAGCAATCTCCATTAAAAAAACAATTAATTAATTAAAACTTAATCTAATGGTCAGCATTTGGAGTTTTGGACCTCTGCACTGGACCGGACCAAAAACTGGATTTAGCCCGAACCTAAACCAACCTCAAAACAGATTCACACCACACCAATTTCTACGAAACAGATCAAATCCAAATATTCATCCCTACAATCGCAATAGATAATATAAATTTCAATAGACTTCAGTGAGTTTCAATAGACTTCAATAAGTTGTACCATGTGCTCCTAAAGTTGTACCGGTCAACAGGTACAAGAACTGAAAACCTGGATTTGGACCAGCCTCAACGGGTCTGATCCAAAATCCACCAATTTCTACCAAACTGATCCGGTCCAAAAACTGATCCGATTTAGTCCAAATGTCTACCCCTATCTTAATGTGATAAAATGACAGACCGATAATATCCAATTTGCTTTTCAAGCTATTTATCTTTTAATTCTAATTATATTCAATAGGTCACTAAACTATTTTATGTTTTATTATTACACCATTGGAATGCATTTTAACAGGTAATCCAACCATATAATACTTATACCAGCACCAAACACCCTAATTGTTTGCTGTTGTTTGCGTCATTTTATGACATAAACATAAACAAAGGAGAATGAGCAGAAAACTAAAAGATCCAAATCTGTAGTAAAGAATTTCGATCTGATAACAAATATCGATGATTAACAACAACCCATTATGGACATGAATAAACGTATGAAAAAGCACCAATCACAAATTTTTTTTTTTTAAAAAAAAAAGAAAAAAAAAATCAACCGGTGGTTTTCTTATCAGTGGATGAGGAGGTTTTGAGGTTGAGATTAAACCATTTCTTCTTGCTATTATTATAACTCTTCCATCGTCTTCACCAACTGGACTGCTGCTACTTTCACCTTCACCACCACCAACTTTACTACTTCCGCCTGTTCCATTGCTACTAAAACCACCTCCTAAAACCACCGACCTACCTACTGTAAATGATGACTGTATACTGTCTCTTTGTTTTAAAAGCTCATCCACCTGTAAATATCATTCACATTAACATATTCATCAATTAATCAACTACTCTTTCGCAACTAAAATTGAAAACATCAGGTACAGACAGGGACCAAAATTGTAATTTATTCTAAAAAAAATAGAATATACATTTTGCTTTTCCAGGGTGTATCGGTTGGTGACTTCTTGATATCGTTGCAAAGCCTGAAAAAACCAAACACTTATTATTTATAAAGATATTAGATTATTGTATTTATATATTAATATTAATATTAGTATACCTGTCTGTACTCGGTTTCAAAATGGCGTAACTCGGTTCTTTTTCTTAGAATTTGCTGCTCAATTTCCTTGAGTTTAACAGTTGTGTCTTGATATGTTGTGGCACAAATGGCCTCTATTGTATACGATGCTGTTTTGAAAAAATTATCTCCTGAAACCACACGAAATTCAATTTCTTTTTTTTTTTTTACAAATTTACCAAATACAAAAAATTAAAATTAAGCTTCTGACCATAAACAGCAAATATGTGAGTTCCGGATTTTAGTTCTGACACCTCACACGGTTGAAGACCTTCCAATCTTTTAAAGAAAGCTGCTTCAGGATCCTTGGCCATTGCTAACTGCAACTCAAATTCAAACCCTTAATTAATTAATTAATTCCTTAATTAATTAATTAATTTTGCCCAAAAATGTTAAAATGCATGCATAACATACGGCATTAACAGTGGAATCCATTCTGTAAACTTGAAAATGCAAGAAATACATTCCTGCTGATGTCACCTTCCCTGTCTTGTCACTGTCTTCCTGCATCATCATCATCATCATGGATATTGCACAAAAAAAAAAAAAAAAAAAGACACACACACATAAAGTAGCTGAAACAATCTGAGATAACATAGAGTGATGTATACCTGCAATGCAAGACTATAGCCTCCACCATTATCTTGCTCAAAGTAAAGTAGCTGGGATGTTTGATTTTACATGAAGATTAACATTCTAGTATTTTGCTAAAATAATATGATAACA